TGTGGTCCGTCGTCTCTTTGTTGTTCTTGCTATCATAGCGCTTTCCTAGCTCGGGGTAAACGTCTTTCTTTCTTCGATTAGACCAGCACACAACACACTCACTCACGAAATCGCCAACCAAAGTGGCAACTCATTAACAAAACAAAAAACAGCAACAAATTAGTCATCGGTCTTGAGCATAAAAATCATACTTTCGATACTTCTTTTCTTCTCAAACTAGGGAAACCGACCCAAACACAACCCGATACGTGACCGATGATCTTAAAAAAAAAAAAATAAATAAACCTTTACACCTTTAGACATGCAAAAAAGGCCATCGAGCTATTTTCACTTTTCAGCTTTAGTCAAGCCCGATCCATTGGATACGAGAACCACCCGAAACAAGAGGGTCTAACCGAAATCGAAGGTCCCAATGAGGTGCGTTTGTTATGCAAATTGTTTGGTTTTCATTGAAAAAATTTACTTTCATTACTTTTTACGGCATGGCAGTAATTTAACAATATTTTGGTTTAGGCAATAGAAAACTGCATTGTCGTCAGTTGGGTAGTATGTATGTACAAAAAGAAAGGTGTTGATGTTGAAGAGGGTTTGTAAAAACTAGAAACCTTTAATTCAATATATAGAATTTATACGATTGATATTCAACACATTTCTGTAATCTTTAAAGTAATTTTAACTGGCTTCTGACAGAGTAAATTATAATAATTATAAATACATTCCAATAACAGTGATTATAACCAACTCTGAACCAGTTTGTATCCAGTTGATCTTTAATTTAAAATCTTTGGTATCTCTGGGATTAATCATTTTTAAAAGAGGAATTTAATCTTAAATTTTTACCCATTCATCGCATCACCCAAAACCACCGCAAAACTAATCTAATCGGCGCTATGCAATCAAAATGAAGATCAGCTCTTTAACCAAACTGCTTCATTTTCCAAGCCAGCCATGAATCAGAACTTCAAGCTGGCGTCATTTCCCAGTCGGTTGCCATCGAAACCGCCTTTCAATTGGACACCCCATCCATCATTTAACACATGGACTAACGGCGGCGTCCGCACAGTTTTGGTATAGTTACTCATTTGGAGGCGTCTCTCCTCCTCATAGTAATTGCAACATGCCAGACAAAAAAGCAGCAACGGCAAGAGCAACCAAATTTAGTGGCACACGGCGGCACGTATACACGTACAAATACCAGTCTGGTTACGCTCTGCCGGTCAAAATACGAGTCTAATGCACATAGGGAACCGATCCGCGGATCCACACTCGAACGCGACTATAAAGCAACCTGAATTGTTGGTTAGAGTTCAAGTAGTTAGCCAGATACATACAAGCATAGCATATGAATTATTATTGCCCAATAGTGCCCTGTTATCAGAACCCAATTTAACCGTATTATATTGTCACTGTCTTCTAAACCCCCGAGCAAAGATACATACAGTAAAGACCACAAAAGTTCTGATTTTAATTCTAATATTTAAAATACTTTAGCTATACTATTAGTTATAACCAAGCTTAGCAGAAGCGCACATTGCGCTATTTAAAAACTGATAACATTTTAGTTTATGTAGTTAAATATGTTTTTTTTTTATTGTTAACTTTAATCCTTTTTTCATTTAGTGGGTTAATTTTGTTATTTCTAAAGTTTTAACAAAAAAAATCCACATTAACGAGGTTCTAATTCAAGAGTGCACTTTAACTAAACACAGTCATAACTGAATTATTCAAAGCGATTGCTTAATACCCATACTGCTGTTATCGGAGCCCACTGAAGTGCAGGTAAAGATAAGCAAAAAACATGAAACTAGGTGTAAATTCGAGGTGTGAGGCAGAGATATCTCTGGGCATGACCAAAAGCGATTAAGAATCGTAAGAATCAACCAATGCGCGTCTAAGAATTTCCGTCTCGGCAGATTTAGCATCTGATAATGCCTTCAATGACACACGATCGGCACGTATCTAAGTGCATATATGCACTCTTAAAACTCAAAGTGAGTGAAAGAGTGCGTTTCGACTATAGTGAGTGATCCAAAAGTTCATCGAGAGTCATTAGTGAAAGTTCGTGTGTGGCTGCCACGTACAACTACGGTTTATGCCATATACTCTACATATATGTATGCACAAACTTACATATATCAAGCTCATACCAATTGTTTAATGTACCCACTTTTTGTTCACTTTGACTTTGACACTTGACACCATGTTGTTGTCACTTTTTAAGCAATCTGTGGTATTACAGCGCTACAACAAATAAGTTTGTCTCAATCGACACAAACAAAACAATAATCTAATCTCGGTGTCATGTAGAAAACGTTTAGTTTGCATTTTATTTATAGTTTTATTGGGCCGATTTGTTTTAAACATAATTGCTAGTTTGGTTTACTGTGCTGATACAATTTTTAATCGATATGGATTTAACTTTGAATATTGTTTCAAAGTATTTTAATCAACATCCACACGGCAAGAACAGCATGATTGTAATTATCGGAAAGATTATATTGCATTTTTATTTTTGAAGGAGGCGAACTTCTTTAAAAACTTTTTAAGTGATCCTAAATTGGTTTTTAGTTTAAAACGACATTGGAATTTTGGATATGTTCTTTGCGAACATTTTTTAAAGAAAATTCTACTTCATAAAATACCGTTAGTTGCTTAACTTTTTGCAATGTTTTTCTTGACAAGACTTTGCCGTTTTCTATCAAAATTCTTTTTCGCAAGCTTGGGTTCTTCTCACACAATTTGTTTCTGGTTTTACAACTAAAATCTTAAAAAAAAAAGCGATTCACCAACAACAGCCAAAAAAAACTGGGCAAAGTATTATGCTCATTTTTTTATTATGTATTTCGAGAAGACCTTTAAAAAGTTTCACCAAACAAACAGAAAGTCGCTGCGTGCGCGAAAGCCCCCAGCAACAATAACAACAACAGCAACACAACATTAATGGAACCCAACAACCCAAATGGAAACGCAAAAAAGGTTGAAATGGAAGAGAAGAAACAAAAAACCGGCTAATGAAAAGCGTTTATTTGAAAAAGGGTTTTTCCAATTGTCCACACACAAAATGTCCCGTTGTGCAACAGCAAAAACAACAAACCGGATAAACAAGTGTGCCTGCGTTGTTGTTGTTATTGTCAATTTTAGAATTCTTGACCGCTGCACATAAAAAAATTTGATTACCAAAAATAAACTATTATATTTCTGTATTACTTTTGAAAGCTAAGAGCTAAGAGCTGACCTGATTAACAGGAAAATTGAATATATTGTAATCTGATGTTAATATTGAAAGTTGTATATATAAACTTTTAAACATGATATTAAAATGTTTATAAAGAATCTTAACCAACGTTTTAAAATACATTTTCTTGGTTGTAAGACCTTTTTTTAAGGAAACGTCTGCTTTAAACATTGCTTACATATTAGAATAACAATCAAAACTAAATTTCTTTTTGACGTGGTAATTTTTCCTCAGTGTGGAAGCCTGGTTCAAGCTCAAGGAGAGAGAGAGAAAGAGAGAGCGGGTGGGAAGGGATGGGGAAAGGGGCACGGGCACCCATGAATGTGTTGCACTGTGAGCCGCTCTTTACGCATGTCTCCTTCTCGCTCGCTCTGCTGCTCTTCAGCAGGTGTACCTGTCCGCCAGTAAGCTTGTTGGTGTGTGTGCGAGAGAGTGGGCCTGCGTTTGTAGAGTGTGCATGTTAGTACCGTTCTAGCCAACGAAACCTGAAGCGTAGCTATTTAATTTGGTCAGCCGCTTAAGCAATAAAAATGCAATGCAGCCACGTCTTCGTCTCAATTCGAATACGATGGAATCAATGATACTTAAAATTACACTGATGCTGCTTGTGACCCTTGTCATTTTCTCTGGCTGGCTTTTCTAGCCCCACACACCAACTCACAGTTACACACACCGACTTGCAGGGTTAATGCACTCTTTTCTTTTTTTCCAATCACTCTCTACCTTAATTGTTGCCTTAGAATTTGCACTCTTCTCTTTTTGGAACTGAGCCGTAGGTATTGCGCTATTGCGGTTTAATTAACACTTTTCTTTCAACCAGTCGAAAGCGGGATATTCTTTTTGAAAACAGGTTACATAAATAGGTCACGCACCAACAGTCGCAGGAAAAGTGCAGCGCGCCGAATTGTTCCCTTTTCCAACACAAGTCAACCGAGCAACAGGTTAATCAATACACTACAGACTTTTTGGCATTTTAGAGCCTTCAGTCATTTGTTTATTGGCCGAGCAAAGTTGAACTTGCAGCGAAAACGAACCGAATAGACCGAACTGCTAACTCCGAACAGCAAACACCGAACTCCGAAACGCGACCGATCGACAGAACGGCCAAAACATCGATGGCGATTCCGATTGCCGCTTGACATAATCGCAAATTAACCATCGATAACGATAAAAACAGGTGACTCCGAAAATGTACAACATCACGATAGTCTATCGATAGAAACGCTTAAACTCCGAAAACGGGCTTAAGTGCTCGAGCTATGCAAAAGCTGGTTTTTGTTTTAGTTTCGCCACTTATTAATTAATCATTTCTGTTTCCCGCGCTGGCATCGAATCTTTAAGTTGCTAATCAATTTTTAAGACTACGGTTTGAATTCAACGATAATTTAAGTAAGTGCAATCGGCAATGCAGCTCTCTAATGTTTATATTGCGGTACAGTAATCGAAAATCAAATTGTGTCCGTTAAGCTTTAATTCTTCCATTCAAAATGCTATTCCTATTAACATGGCTTGTTGATTTTTCGACAAAGAAATAAATCGGTTTTGCTGTGGTCATAAATTTAAACTAACAGTTTTCGAGACTGCAATGCCCTTTAAAAGCTCATTAAAAGTTTAGTTTAGTTTTTTTATTATTGTTTGATATTTTAGCCAATTACGCTAATGGAATAATGTTCAGCAGAAATGCTAATTAGAAAAACATTACTAGATTAAAATCGGCAAACAATTCGTAAATTCAGTATTCAGTGTGTCGAGGGTGATTGTCGCGATGAGGGTTTTCCTATGGATCTGCGCTATGTTTATTGGTACATCCCACGGATACGTGCGCCTCACGAATCTTAAGTGCGAAAGCTTTGACAAGTCATTTATGGACTTTCCTGAATGCCGACTCAAAGTCCTAGGAAGGGGAATTATCGCCGGAAATGTACATATAAAGCTCCTAAAATTACCAATTAATAAGATATTTGTGAGATTCGTCGTCTACCGGAAGCTCAACGGCTACCATCCCTTCCTATTTAACATTTCCAAAGAGCTCTGCCGCGCTATAAAGCATCCAAATCGTTTGGACGTGTTTTACTACTTTTACCACGCATTTTTGCCATATTCCAATCTTAACCATACTTGTCCCTACACTGTGAGTTATATCGATTTTATGATACCCTCTTCTAAAGTAATGCATACTTTTTAGAACGATGTCTTCATAAAGAACTGCACCCTGAGGGATAGCATGTTTGCAAAGGTTCCATTGCCAAAGGGCAGCTATAAGCTCACTCTCGAGACGGATGACGGCATCCTAAATTGGATTTCAATTATTTCCATCTTCCTTGATATTGATGTGGACAAAGATATTGCTTAAACCGATCTCTAATCAAAGTAATTTAATCAATGCAGATAAAAATTAATCTGAAGTAAATGAATTTTAATTCATTTTCTAGTTAAAATAAAAAACTTCGGTGTCGGGAATAAAAACAAATTTGTGACTGAAATTATGAAGCTTCTTTAAACTATGTTTTCCTGAACAAGTATCGCAAAACAAAGACCTAATTTAAGTTCTTATTGGGGCGGAAAACATTGCCGACTGTCATATATGTAGGCGTTATCAGCTGCGTTTTAGTAGGCAGAAAAACTGATTGTGGCGGCAAGTCTTCTCCGTTTTATCAATAGTTCATGTTTATTGAAATTTCTCTTCGTTTAGGTTTAGGTGGTCAAAGTAATCGCCTCCACGTGCGGGCAGCAGATACAAAATATTTCTTGCGTCGTGTCTTTACAATGTTTTAAAGAATATAAATGAAGTGTATGATTGTGTGCGGTGTGAATGGGAGTGTTTTTGTTTTTATTTTTTTTTCTGGGAGTTAGCAGAACTTCCATCGGTTGCCGCATTCGTTGCACATGACAAAGGTTGTCATCGGTTCATCGGCGGAACGGGTCTGCAGCTGGTTGTACGTGCAGTTGCGCTTCTTGCACTTGGCGCACTTGAGGAGATCGGTCTTGGTGCCCTGTACGGTGGCCAGCTGGGCATCGTTGATGGCCTCCTTGACGAACTTCTCGCGCAGCTTCTTCATCTCATCGCTGGCCATCTCCTCGGGCGTCATTTTGGCCAGCTGCTTGGCAGTCACGGCGCCGCACATAAAATTACCGCGCAGTCCGGGGTTCTTCGGGTCCTTCAGGTTGGCCACACGTGACCTAATGCGATTCTTGTACTTCATGTCCGTGTTCTTGAACTCCGAGTAGATGGCATCCTCCAGTTCGGCGGCCATTTCCTCGGGCTCCCCGCACCCCTCGGGCACTTCACCAATCTTCAGGGCAGCGGCCAGCATTTCGCGGCACTTGATGCGCACCGCATCCGTCATGCCGCCGGAGGGAAACGAGGACTGTGAGGACGATGAGGATTTCTTCTCCTTGTCCTTCGACGAGGAGCTGCCGCCACTAGACTTGTCCTTGCTGGAGGACGACGACGACTTGGATGCGCTCGACGACTTGCCGGCACTGCTGTTGTTGGAGGAGCCCTCTTTCGAGGAGCTGTGATTGGGCGTTGTGGGCGCCGGACTGGCCAGAAAGCGCTTCCAGTTCTTGATCAGGGTCTTGGCCAGGGCAATAACCTCGTCGTCCTTGCTGCTCTTGCGCAGCTCGTTGACCGTCATTCCAATACGCGTCTTCGTCAGTATCTCCAAGTTAATGTTCAGTGTCTGCAGGGCCTTTAGCAGGTCCAGCGCCTGATCCTGACCCTAAAATTTGAATATGTATACGTGGTATCCACGGTTATCCAGCACCCAAACTCACTGATCCGTCACTGGACGTCGAGATCTTCAGCATCTTCTTCTGAATCCGAAACACTTCCTCCTCCACGCTCATTTTGGCCGACTGTATCTGCCGGGCAAATAGAATGTTACGGATCAGAGGTTATGTTAACTGCCGTCGGCTGCCGGCTACGATAAATATTTCTTGCCGGTGACATAGTTCCTTGTGCCAACCCAGTTATTACCTTTTTTCCCTCCAATAAATGTTGTTTACTATTTTTTCGTTTCTGTATTCGCAGAACGAGTTGGTAGAATGCCCTAACGCGTAAAATAATAAGTGCTACCGCTTAGATTGGAGATTTTTAGTATTTATTAAGTACACATGGGATGGAGTATTCGCTAGGTTAGGAGGGTGGAACTGATAGGTCTGGAGGGTGCATTGGCTACTATCGTTTGTGAGACCGATGTTTCTCCACGGATCTTCACGTTTTCGCACACTGTTTTTTTCCTTACTCATTTTCCAATTTTTTGCGGGTGCGAGCTATATTGTCCGTCAGTATATTTCCTTCAAAAATCGTTTTAAGGTGGTTATTAGTAACAAATTTTATCTTTCGAGAATCCAAGGTGAGTGAAATAACAATTTTTAAACTTCTTTTTTTTTGCGCCTGCGTGCAGTTCTTACCGCCAATATTCAATTTCTTTTAAATTTAAACCTTGCTAAGAAGTGTGTAATTTAAACTTTCTTAACTTCTTCAAACACAAGGAAACTTGGTAGTAAGTTCGCCATTAAAAGTGTGCAGGTTTTCTTAAAGAAAACAAAAACGTGTTCAATAAAAATTTGTAACGTTTCTTATTCACTCATTCATTGTTTGGTTTGCTTGGCGTCCTTAAAACGACGGGTTCTCATAAAAATTTATATGGAATTTTCCTTTTTTGGTTGCAACATCTTTTTTTTTTTTGAAGCTCCTTTTCTCTCTATTCGCTAGGCGCCCATTTTCATTCTTCTTTTGACAGTCACCGTTATATTTTAGGGTTGCCGAGGCACCAAGTAATGGCGATTATGAATATGTGTTTTCTTCCTGACTACTTCTTAGAAGTAAGTAGACAACTCTGAAGCTTCATCGATTCTTCTTCACACAAGTTCAGTTTTTCAAACGTGATTTTGGAACGAAACTGGATTTCACGTGCAAAGAATTTCGATTGTGTTAAAATTAAACTAATATTATTTTGTGTTTCCTCATCAGGTAAATTTAAAAAAAAAAAGTTGACGCCATATTCTTCAAAATGCAATTCTTAGTCAATTGTTATTAAATAAATTTTTGAGCTTTTATTCTTGTGAAGAAAATTAGTGTTCTATACTACTATTAAATTCATAAAGCCTCATCAGATTTTGTCGCATTTCTTCCGGTTGTAATTGTCCGCTTAGTTTTTGGTCTTGCTTTCTGGGATTTCCTTATGTGTATTTATTTATTTCCAAAAGTTTACGAAAAATGTTACGCAAAAAAAGACTTGGTAGAGGAATAGCAAAGTGAGTTTTTAATTCTGATTTTCTCCCATATTTTTCGGTTGGTTTTCCTCTGTCTTTCGTTCCTGTTCCTGTTCATTCTTGTTCTTCTCTGTGTTTCTTTTGCGAAGCGTCGTTTGCCTTGTGTGTGTGTGTGTGTGTGTGTGTGTAATGCAGAAAAGAAAAGCAAGATAACAGTAAAATAAAGTAATACTATTAATGGGGGCTAGCCGAGTTGAGCAGAAAATTGAAAAAAATTGTCCGAGTTGAGCAGAAACGATTTTTGGACATAAAAAAATGAACATCCGAGTTGAGCAGAAACGATTTTTGAACATAAAAAATGAACGTCCGAGTTGAGCATAAAACCGATAACGGTAAAAAAAAAAAACATCCGAGTTGGGCAAAATCAATGTCAGAGATGCGTCAAAATCATTACTTATTCATATAATTATTACATATTTATTATTCATTTATTTGCAAATAATTATTACTTAATAATCATATATCATATATGATTATTAAGTAATTTTTCTAAAAAAAACTAAATTAAAAACTGAAAAAATAACCTTTTTTTTGAGAAAAATTACTTAACAATCATATAGCATATGTATCAATGCAAAAGTAAGTAATTTTTCTAAAAAAAAAAAACTAAAAACAGAAAACATAACCTTTTTTTGAATAATTACTTAATAATCATATAGCATATGTATCAATGCATAAGTGCGCGCGCACTTTTGCATTGATACATATGCTATATGATTATTAAGTAATTTTTCAAAAAAAAAACTAAACTGAAAACTGAAAAAAGAACCATTTTTTTGAAAAATTAAATTATTTAATTAATAATGATTTTGTGGCATCTCTGACATTGGTTTTTTATGTGGAAAAGGCGTTCATGCGCAACTCGGATGTTTATATTTTTTTTACCGTAATCGGTCTTCTGCTCAACTCGGACGTTCATTTTTTATGTCCAAAAATCGTTTCTGCTCAACTCGGAATTTTTTTTTTTACCGTAATCGGCTTTCTGCTCAACTCGGTATCGCCCTATTAATGATTAAGCTGTTAGTTTGTAAAGTACTCTAGATTTTCCGTCGGAGTACAGTTTTTTTTTTTTAAATCCGAACAAATGAAGAACCTATTGAGTTACAAATAACAGTTCGGTTTGTAATAGCGAGCGTGTCATGTCTCAACTTACGCCACTTCATTCTCCTGTTTCGCCCATAATTTTTTTTAAAGTCTTTCGAGTTAAGTGTTTTTTCGATTCTTTATTTTTATCAAATAAATTTTCTTGTTTTTGTTTAAACGAGTTGCTCAACATTTGTTGCTGTTGAATGGTTTGTTTCTTTGGGTCAAAATACAATACAATATTTCAAAAAATTTCGTATATTTTGTTCATCTACGATTTTTTTTCTTTGCATCTCATTTTCTTTTGTTTGGTGTGTTTTTTTTTTGCTGTCATAAAATTGATTTTACCATGTATGTACGAATATATATCTCATATAATTTATACAATTTCTAATCATTAGAAGCAAACGATTTTACAGGGATCTCATATTTGCGTTTCTAGAAGTGGGTTTCTCATTTGACTCGAAATAGTTTTTTATTGAAAGCTTTACTTCGACTGTAAATCTACTTATTAAAGGTTTACAATTTGCTCCAATAGTTAATCAATATTTTTTGGATTTATTTTTTAATAATGCTTAAATTAATATTGTTTGTTTTTGTATTTCAGTGTGTCTGTGTTCAGTTAGGTTTTATAATTAAAAGTAGTATATATGATGCATAGTTTGCTTTATAATTATTAATTATAAATGTTTAATTATAGAATTTGCATCCAAGAAACACAATTACAAAGTTTTTAACACTTACTATTCTTTCGGTTTTGGGTTTCTTTTTCCAACTACTGATTTTAATAATTTCTCATTTTGTTTTTTCTTTATTTTAAATAAAAGTTAACATAGTAAAATTAATAAAACGTACATTTCGCTACGAAAATGTGATTCGTAATAGAACAAAAATTATATGAAATAATGAAAATGCTTTTACTGTTCTCTCGATGAAAACAAACTATTGTAAGGTATTTAGTGTATTTTGCTTCTTTTCACCGAAGAATTTATCAGGCCGTGATGTTGTTTTTCATCATTGATTTATTTTAATCGCCGAGTTCACTGGTTAGCGACTTAACTTTGTTTTTAGTAGGTAGGATGATTTTTGATTAAGTGAGTGGTAATAACATAAAAAAAAAACAACTTTACATCAGATTTTTTTTGATGTAAAAAAACGAATTCTATGTCCGCCCATGCCGTATTATAGAAAAATCTCGGAACAAATCTCTAGTCGTCGATCGTGAACAGACATTAGAATTAAAATCCATAATGGGGATGACTTAGCCTGACTGACTAGTTTATACGAGGTCACTTGCTTGATCGCGATTTTATCAGGTAAAATCTGATTAGTTGGCCACGCATAAACTAAAATTGCTTTTCGTGTGTGTTCTCGTCATATATTTATAAATATATGTATAATTTATTATCCATTTTTGCTTAGCTTGTTGGTTGGTATTATTTTGTTGCTTTTGGCTTATATGGCGGCTACAATTGTTTCTTCCTATTTTTTCGTTTTTTTTTGTTTTTGAAAAGTTTCTTGTCTGTGATATTTGTAATTTATAAGATTTCATTTTGGTAACTTGCTTTCACGATCTCTTCTTTAGTCACCAAAACTGCAATATGAGGATCATCAGCCTCCTGGTCAAATTATCGATTTAAGCCAGTGTGGGGAACTGACGCTCATCGTTGACTTTGGGAGCGGTATTCTGTTGTCGCTCGAAACGCTTATTTGGCCCTGGTCCGCTGTTATTCTGGTTGTTGTTCTGGTTGTTGCCCGGACCACGACGTTCGATGGGCGGCCTCTGATTTTGAGCGGACGGAGCACCGCCCTCGTTATTATGGTGCTGCTGCTGGCCAGATTGGCCATCACGTGGGCCACGGTTTCCACCCTCGCGTTGGTTTCCGCCGCCCTCGCGATTGCCTCCCTCGCGGTTGCCACCCTCGCTGCGTGGTCCGCCGCCAAATCCACCAGGTCGTGGACCTCCACGGCCACCGCGTCCTCCAAATCCACCAGGACCGCCGCGTCGACCATCGTTGAAGTTGAACTGGATGTCCAGGACGCGCTGTTGCCTGCCCACGCGCTGGGGATACAAGGCGGGATCGTACTCGAGCTCCTCTTCGCTATCGTTCTCCTTCTTTTTGTTGCTGGTTAAGACGACCATTTTCTTCCATTGTGTAGTGTCCTCACCTGCGAGAAAGATTATTTGTGAAAAAAATTCAGTTGATTTCCAGATCGAACAACAGGTTGCTTTTTAGTTTTGTAAATAGCAAATAAAATACATACCTTCTCCGGCCTTGCGAATATTAAAGGTTGGCTTGATGCGTTGTCCTTGCTGTGCCTTCCATTCGTCCAATGTCAGTTCTTTGGCCTCTTCCTCGGCGGCCGCCTGCTGTTCGGTCTGTGGTTCAGCGCCCGATTCATCAGCCTTGGCGCCACCTTCTGCATTGGCCACGTTGGTCTCGCTTTCGTTCTTGTTCACATCATCAATAGCCTCCTTGACCGATCCCCAGTTGTGTGAGCCAGCTCCATCGCGCTTGTCAATTGACTTCACACCTGTGGATAAAGCAAGTAAAGTTATTAATATTTCGTGTTATTTTAATTACAGCACCTCGAGACTAATAAAGAAAGCTAAGCTATCTTTAAACTCCAGGAACTTAAGTCCAACCTACCTAAGGTAAGTTAGCATTCTATCAGTAAATAAGCACATATTTAAAACACTATTTCTTACTTTCAGATTTTTTTCTCTCCTAAGTTTGTGAGTAAAACTGATACAAATGAGATATATGTAACATATATGTAGATTAATATTTCGTAGTAATCGTGTTCTTTCTATCTGCTTTTATATCACCAATTTATGGCAACTTGAATAGCCTCCCAATTTACTTCATCAATGCCCACTATCAATATTAAACTAATTAGGTCAATTGTAGTTGGGAATCACCTTGCCTCCTGAAATCAAACCACGTTAAGCTTTTTCACTGCCCTCTCATGGTGACAGATAAGCCGTCAGCACCCGTTTGCTGTAATCAGATTCAGTGGGGGAACTATTTTTCTCCCTTTTTTCCCTCATTTGTGCTATGCAAAGGCCTCCTACAAACTCAAGTGTTAGATGGGAACGCCGTCAAGAAGACGGGAAAAACTATTTATAACACATTTTCTCTGTCGATTTGTGCTGTTCTTGTCTGTTGCTGCCGTGATTATAATTTTGGATATTCCAAAAATGAAAACGTGTGAGCACAACGCAGCGAAGAACAAAAATGCGAGGAAGCAAATTGTGTTTGGTGAAAGGAAGTGGTGTGATATAGATAGCTGCTTGTTGAAGATTGTCTGACCATTAGTATTGATTTGCTTGATCCACCACGTGAGCGAGAGATTTTCTGAGTTCGTCCGCCGCCCATTTGTTTATGAGGGTTGTGTTGTTCTGCCACTATTAGTTTACACTTTGCAACATTTAATCTCACTCTTTCAGTATATTTGCTTGGCATTTTGTGTTGCCCAATTTGTTGTTAAAATAGTTTGTAAACTTATAGAGGGTATATTATATTTGTTAACGTTTGCATACGAATGGTTTAATTATAGACTTTTTTGCACTCAACATTTTTGTTGATTGTCATGTTTGTTATTTGAAAAGTACTTAAAGTCGGCTAATAAATTAGCATGATTTTTAACATAATCACGATCATAAGTTGCGTGTAAACTGTGGATGGAACGTGATTTCCCTGCCTTTTGGCTGCGCCGCCTTCTGAGTTGCTTTTCTGGTTGTCATGGAGCGTTGTTTTTGTTTTATTTGTTAATTTTTCTTTTGGGTGGGCGGGTGCGCTCATTTTGTGGTTATGTCTGTCTTGCCCCCCAATGATGGTTTAGCTATAGTTTCAGATCACCCACACGAAAAAAAAAAAATTATATTAGTAAATTAATAAAAACAACCTACAGATGTCCGAATCTTTTCACGCTTTCGAATCTGACTTCTATTTTGCCCTAGTAAAATGTCCTATATTTTAAAATAGGAGTTTCAGTAAAAATAATAATCTAGTTCCCTTATGTATTCCGATATTTTTCTATAATAATAATATAGAGTATTGTTTATTCCTCACTCACCGGTTCTGTCGGATCCAGATTGGCGATCGAATTCGCGCTTCCTGTTCTGCCCATCATAGTTGCGTCGTGGAGGGCGATCTCCACCGGCACCACCTTGACCACCACCTGGACCGCGGTACGGACGCGACTGCTGGCCATCGGGTGCTCCTCCATTTTCGCGGACATTGCGACGGTTGTTGCGTTGCTCACGGGTCTCGGCGTTGTTGCCATTGCCATTCTGTTGACGGAAGTTGACACTGCGCTGTTGTCCTTGTCCTTGTCCTTGAGCTCCCTGTCCTTGACCGCTGCCAAATTCACGTGTTCGATTGGCGCCACCACCTGGCCGGGGAGCACCCTGTTTATTGTTGTTGTTGTTGAACTGTTTGTCAGCAGATGGGGCAAACTTTTTGCCATCGGTTTTGTTTAAAGCATTGTTCGGCTTGTTCTCCTTCTCGGCCTGATTTGGCTTCTTGGCATTGGGTCCACCGTTGGATCCTGCGGCCGCCTTGTTGTTGTTGTTGTTCACCTTGGCGGTCGTTTTGGTGGCCGCTGCAGCAGCTGACGGCTGCTTCTTCTTACCAGCTGCTGCTGCTGCGGCAGCGGCGGCCGTCGTCGGCGCCACAAGATTATCTAATGGATCGCTGACATCGTCGTCCATGAACAAGAGTTCATAACGATTTTTACCGGCGCTGTCCATGATTTTGTGTGGATAGGTGTCTTTGCTAGCTGGCTGCTGCTTCTCCTCTTGCTTTTCCTACAAAAGAATTTTTACACACCGTTTAGGAATTGATTGATTTTCCTTTTTCGCCCGCCTCACACCCTTTCAGAATTTTGAGATTTTCTGTCACAAACTCAAGGCAAATAGGCCTGATTTTGGGTTAATCTTCGGCTCACGGCGAAAGCCCTTGGACTAACTTGAATTTTTGCAATTTAATCGAACCTTTTGGAGGGATTTTTCTTACTTTTCTGCTGGCTGTTTGGTGGCTGCTGCTCTCTAACCTTAATTTTCAGCGTTTTTTCTTCGCCTCGCTGCTAGTATTACCTACACACACTGGCGCACGAGAATGCACACGCACATGGGCCAACTCACGCACACACAAAAGAGTTCCCACATGTGTTCTTGGTATACATAGAAAAACAGAAACTCACGTTTTTTAACGCGCTTCACAGCGAATTGCTAAATTCCGGCTGAATGGCAGCTGTGTTTCGTGGGCTTTCCAGGTTATTTCTCCGATTTTTCTTTATATTGAATAGGTCATGACATCTCCAGAAATCTAGGGTACAGGCGAACTACAATATAGTTGTCAGAATAAAATACATACAAAATGCGAAGCGGGGAAAATACTGTTTGGCATGCTAGCATGAACTGTGTTTAGTGAGCACTATTCCGTGCTTCTCATTTGGCGCCAGTTTGAATTTGAATTGGATAAGTTAATTGAAAACTTTGTTGGGTTATAAAGGGTTATAAAAACTTTTTATTATTAACTTTTGTTATTTGAAGTTTAGACATAATATTTTAAAAAAAATTTCCATGTGCACAATTATATTTACAAAACTAACACAAATTTATTTGTTTATTTCAGCCATTTTAGATTCCAACAACATGTCTGACTGGGGTGATGATGAGGTTTGTATGCGTTACGGTTAAAAAGAAATTATAAAGTAACATGATGTGTTGATCTTAGCCCTCTGCTGTAACCACCAGTGGCGGTGGTGGGGATTGGGGCGATATCCCAGCTGCTGAGCCTCCGAAGGAACCCTCCGGGTGGAGCGATGAAGAAGATAAGGGAAAGAACTCTGGAGGAGGATATAAAGCTGATGGTCGTGGAAGGGGAGAAGGAGGAGGCTATAGAGGTGGAAATCGGGGCGGAGGTGATGGAGATGGAAACGGATACCGTGGAGGACGACGCGAAGGAGGCGGTGGATTCCGTGGTCGTCGCGACGACAATGAAGAAGGTAAGTTCATTTTTCATCGACAATTTTGTTGTCAATTTGGAAATTTATATTTATCGATTTTATGTTATTATGTAAGGTATTTTAACTTTGTGTCTGTGCATTGTTTTGTCATGTAGTTTGTTTTTTCGTTTTGTGTTTTTCAATTTGCCAAACTTGGTGGGCTAGTTGCGGAGTTGCTCCCGTTTCCATCTAGCTGTGAAAAGGATATCATTGGTGTATTTATCGATAAGCTGGATATAAGCAAGTTCGACAACTTGACGAAGATACGAGACTTGCGTGATTATTTGATGAAGGCATTTGGAGAGTTGGTTAACCAAGAGTTTGCTTCCCTGGAGATTCTTGAAAACGAAAACCGTACCAAGAAAGCTCAGCAGATACGCGAAACAGCTGTCATGATGGATCGCTTTATAGAAGACATCAACCAAATGCTAAATGAAACTCAAGGCGAACAGCAGCAGGAAGAGAATGTGATCGGACAGTTGCAGAACATGGGTGTTGATTGGAGAGTACATGTGTCGCAACTAGAGACCAGCTTGCCACAATTTGTTGCACCCCAACCGTCGGTGGTCAGGACAAGGAGAATGAACAGGACAAGGAGATCTGATGGTGGTCGTTCAGGAGAAATGGCCAATGGGCATCACATAATGCAACAATTATGGGTTATTTTTCAAAACGCCAACAATCAAGTGGCTTTACAAGGAAATTCAACTGCAATCGAAGAAGAGCGCCAAGGAAATCGTCAGCTAGAGCCTCTTTCACGATCCACCAGCTTTAGGCACTTCTTAAGCGAAAATTTTGTGCTTCGCCACGAAACGAAAACACTTAATTTCGGTGATCACCGTGTAATGGCTAGATGTACAGACTGGACAGTTGGCCTATTGCCGGCTTGCGAAGGACGCTCACTGCCCAAGCATAATCCCATCCGTACTTTTGGTGTCAAATTACTTAGGACAACAGTGATTGAAACTACCATGTTTGGATCGCAAACTGAACACAGAGCAAACAACTCTAGTAGTGTTCAGGTCAGCAGCATGGTAAATTTGCCACGTCACCTGCGCTCACAGAATCAGGAAACACCAGGTGCGGATTTTGTGAGCCGCGATATGAACACATCCTCGTTGACATCTAGTGTTCCCGGCAGATCAACGAATGCGCGTGAATTTAGCACTCCACTGGCGGCACACGACAGCGATCCAGGGTATTTTAACTACATATAACTAGTACTATCCTTTCCTTCCTTACCATCTGTGAAATTCCTTTTTCCAATCAGCGATAGTTTATAGAGGAGCCGTTCTTAAACATTGAAAGCTAACGAAAACAACACAAAATTTAGGCAGTCCTTAAATTGTGTAAGGCACTCGAAACATGTTTGTTTTGAATATTTGACAGCTTCAAAAGTGGTTTTTAAGATTAGAGATGATTAATTTAGCATGCTTCTCTATATGCCTATCCTTCGATTCACTATTAAATGAACACTACTTAAGTTTTGGTAGCACTAAATTCGAAAACCTGTCCGTTCCACAGCCTATCATTTATTCCCAATATGAATTACGGCGAAGGAGGAGCAACATGGACGTCAATGGACCCAGAGCTGCCAGCAGAGCATCAACTCGGGTTAGAAGTGGATAATGCAACTCCGGTACTGCCGACTGATACGAATGAAACCGCTCTAGTCGTAGATACAGGTTCATCGGTGATTCGTCAACGAATTGGAGCCACAATAGCATCGACTCCTCTTCAATCATTCCAACCTAGACTAACGGTCATCAATGAGGAGCATCATCGACTTTCCATGGTGCAGCGTGAGCTGGAGATGAGCGAGATTTCGCTACCGGAGAAAGGGATGACCACGGCAAAGGCACCTCAAGAATCATCGCTCCCAGAATCATCGAATACCGTTGCAGCTGTTCTCCCAGTGACCCCTCCCTCAAGTCCACGGCGTGAGTGGGCTTCTATTTTTCGACCACGTGAACAACTTGTCAACTATGTTGAGGGACCTGCTCCCAGGCATGCACCGCGGATCCGACGTGCATCACGTCCCCGGGCGCGTGCTCCTCGTACTGCTGCAGCTCCCACTCCTCCACCAACACCAGGACAAGTAACCCAGGACGAGGAAGCACTCCGAAGCCAACGTCATATTGCAACTAATTTTATCACTAATTTGATTCAAGGCGCTGCCACAGTAGTTGAGGCTTCCCATCAAGCTATTGAACAATTAGAGGTAGTCGCGATCACTAATTCTGTACAAGAGCAAAAAAAGACAGAAATAACTGATTCATTGGAAATTGCTCAAGTGCGTCGAGCATTTTCGGATTCTTATGCTCAAGATAAGGTTTCTTTCCTTGATCAAGCTTCTGGCAGAATGACTCTGCCGCCTATAAGTTCTACTCCAATCCGCAAGGATGCAATTTCTGTTTTAGGACCCAATCGTAATTTGGAATATTTACCAGAAGTATTGGATGAGTCTATTTTGAATATGCCCGAACCTATTATGCCAATGGAAACTGATGAAACCCCGCTGATGGTTTCAAATTCAACACAATTGGCTGATCTCAGCACTCATGCCTATGTGACAGATGTGCAGATGTTACCAAGACTGCCTCAATCATTTATGACCGCCAGTGCAGATACAACCATTAATCCAGCAGAATCGACTGTGCCAATAGCCGATAGCACCGAACAGCTGAGGGAGCGCAGAACAGCAATACAAAATCAATTATATCGAGAGTCAATTAATGATTTGGCTTACATCACACAACACGCCGACATGTTGCGCCTCATGGTGGATCGCCAACATGAGCTCACATTGGAGGGAAAGTCTACGTTGCTTCCGAATGGCGATCAAAGTCAAGGATCTATGAGTTATTATTCTATGCCCGCTGTCAAGGTCTACGATCCTCAGATAATTTTGAACATGGAACAAAATAAGATTCGCCTTGCTCATGGTGTGTTTGGAGCCCTTATTAGGCAATCACAAGTAGATATACAAAACACAACCTTCATTCGCAATCGTAACGATGCGGCGATCACCTCTCACTTTTTGCTTGAACTAAAGGCAGCAAATATTATAAATCTAAGTGCGGATGGCAGATACTTTTCTCTTCGATAAATTGAATTAAAGGCAGTTAACATTCGATTTAATGCGGAAAATTAAAAAAAAAAATCAGAAAAAAACATACTGATATGAACATGAAGAATTTCGTATTTTTGGTTGCTTACAAGACTATCTTTCACTCTCAACGGATTTTATTACTACTGTTTTTAATTTTTATGCTTAATTTTAATTATGTGTTTTAATTAAATTATGAATTACTAAAATAATTGTTAAATTAAATGAATAATATTTATTATAAATTATTAAAATTACTGAATTCCAATTTAGTTTTTAATATAAATAAGCTTTTAATTATTATCTTGATTATCATATGTGAAATGTTGATAAAAATTGTGAAATTTGTATTTAATTTTAATGAATGAAACAGAAACATTATTTAAATAAAACATGGTCTTATTTTAGTTTTAAAGTGCGTAAAAATTTGTCATATTTTGATCTTCTGAACGCTTATTCCTTTTTTTTTTTTAATGTTTTTTAAAATATCCGCTTTACCACTTTTTATTAGGAGACGAACGTCGTGGAGGTCGCTTTAATCGTGATCGCGGAGAACGCGGAGAACGTGGCGAAAAAGGGGAAGGTGGCTTCGAGCGACGTCGTCGCAACGATGACGATGTCAACAATAATAACGATGTCAAGGAGGATGGAGAAAAGAAGCGCGAATTTTATATTCCGCCTGAACCCAGTAACGACGTCGAGGAGATCTTCAGTACTGGAATCACAACAGGAATTAATTTCTCTAAATATGACAATATTCCCGTAAAGGTAAAAATGTGCTATTCAACTTTTAAAATCCTTTATAACCAAAAACTTTATATCATTACTAAGGTAAGCGGTGAGAATGTTCCCAAAGCGATTAAGAGCTTCGAGGAGTCTCAATTGCGTGCAACTATTGCTGCGAATGTAGTCAAATCGGGCTACAAGGTGCCCACTCCGATCCAGAAGGTTGCAATACCGGTGATTGCCGATGGTCGTGATTTGATGGCGTGTGCTCAGACTGGTTCGGGAAAAACGGCTGCTTTTTTGTTGCCGATCCTCAGCAAGTTGTTGGAAGATGCCCAAGACCCAGAGATTGGAAAGCCGCAGGCGGTGATTGTATCTCCGACTAGAGAGCTCGCTATTCAAATCTTTAGCGAAGCGAGGAAGTTCGGCTATGATACTTATCTAAAGATCACCATTGTTTACGGTGGGACCTCGTTCAAGTATCAAAACGAGTGCATTACCAAGGGATGCCATGTGCTTATCGCCACTCCTGGACGACTGATGGATTTCGTGGAGCGCACCTTCATTACTTTTAATGACACGCGCTTTGTGGTGCTGGACGAAGCCGATCGGATGCTGGACATGGGCTTCTCGGAAAGCATGCGTAAATTGATGACCCATCCAACAATGCGTCCGGAGCACCAAACTTTAATGTTCTCGGCCACTTTCCCGGAGGAAATCCAGCGTCTGGCTGGCGAATTTTTGAATAACTACGTCTTCGTAGCCGTTGGCGTAGTAGGAGGAGCCTGTTCGGATGTGCAGCAAACCATCCACGAAGTTAATAAATTTAACAAGCGAACCAAGCTTATGGTAAGTTTTATTCTCTTTGAGAAAATTTTCGAGTAAAATTTTTAAAATTTGTATACAGGAAATCCTTCGCGAGGAAGCGGATGGTACTATCGTTTTTGTGGAAACTAAGCGTGGTGCCGACTTCTTGGCTTCGTTCTTGTCGGAAACAGAGTTCCCAACGACTTCTATTCATGGCGATCGTCTTCAGAGCCAACGCGAGCAGGCCTTGCGTGACTTTAAGAACGGCAAAATGAAGGTGATCATTGCAACTTCAGTGGCGTCCCGTGGTCTCGGTAAGTGATTTATCCCAAACTTTCGCGATTAAAATCTATAAACTTCTTTTCTTTTCCTTGTTTAGATATCAAAAATATTAAGCACGTGGTCAACTTTGATATGCCCAACAATATAGATGATTATGTACACCGTATTGGACGCACTGGTCGTGTGGGCAACAATGGTCGGGCCACTTCTTTCTTTGATCCCGACCAGGATCGCCCTCTCGCAGGAGACTTGATCAAAATCCTGGAGGGAGCTGGTCAGACCGTTCCAGATTTCTTGCGCGAAATTGGAGGCGGTGGTGACTACTCCAGCAAGAAGTTTGGCGGCGTAGATGTCCGTGGCGGAGTGAGTACACTTTAAAACTTTTACCTTCACTCTTGCTGATTATATTTCCGATTTACAGGGCAATACCATCTCCGATGCGGCTAACACTGAGTGTGACGAGGACTGGGACTAATCCGAAAATGCAGGACGTAAATTTTTAGTGTTTGAACCTAACGAGATAAGATTAATTTAGTCCTCGAATCGATCCGGCTTCGAATGCCATAGGCGATATATAAATACTATATAGTAGCCTTAAACTTTGTTAAACGCCAGTTTAACAAGTTTACTTAAGTTTGTTTACGTAAGGAAATACCATTTTTTTATTTTCCTATTATAAAAATATAAATATTCATTTGAAAAACAGAAGACGAATAAGTTCTCCATTTATTGTAACATGAATATAAACCACGAATTTGTTGGTGAATTGAACTTGCCTCCATTACCGGCTGTAATCATGTGTTTGTTTTTATGTACTCATCCTTCGTGTTTCGTTGTTTGTTGTTTGCCTTGCTGTCTGCTTGGCTCTTATGCTCTCGCGCTCTCAGTTAAAGCCGGCTTTTTGAACGCTTGCCTCGCCCTGCCTGTGCCAGGCCTCCCCCAAAAAGCAAACCAGCCAACAAATGTTGCCCTTTTGCGTTTGCTGTCTTTGCAGAACAAAATCAATAACTGAGAAACCCACCACGCTGCTGCTCTTTGTGTTGGATTTTTCACGCTCGCAACCGAGTGAAAGACATTTCAGTCTCTGACGGCATTTCCCAGCGCGCAAACACTTTCTTTTCGACGGTACCGCATGACACATTTCCAAATAGAAGAAAAAAAGTAATAACTTTTTACTGTTTTTAAATAAAACTTGTTGGAAAAATTATTTCTTGGCTTAAGGCGTGGCGTTGCTTACCAGAAATACAAAAACTAAGTTTGGTTTTTGGCCAGTGTTAACAAAAACTGTGTTCTTTTTGTTTCAACGATTGTTTAACCTAAATGCATGAAGCGATTATGAAATAAGAAAACCTTTCGGTTTTTTTTTATGTTTTAACAAAGGGCTAATGGTTTGTTACTGTTCTTGCTACTTGTCTGTAAAAACTTCTTGGTAGTTGGCCTTTTGAAAACGCATTTAGGATCGGTCTTGGGGTTGTGCGTAAATGTCTGAACCCACCCTTTCGTACTCGTTTATGCACCAGCACCGACCAACCCACTTTTACTAGCCATCATTTACAGCAGTAGCAGAAACAACAATAACGTCTTTCTAGCCGGCAAAGTCTTGGCATTTCTTTTTTCACTGTTTTCCTGGCGGATGGCGTGATATGCTTTTGCCCGTTTTCGAATCACGCACCAAATTTAAGCATTTTTCTTTGATTAGGTTACCCGTAATTGTAATCAAGAGTTGGTTTCCTTCGGAAATGTTTAGTGTTGCCTACTTTTTTGGGCCAGCTGATTAATTTGAATAATTTCGATTAATAAATAACCCTGATTATAGTGTGAATGTGCTCGAATTTGTAAACAAAAAACATTGAAAGTGTCGAATCGAAATCATAAAAAAAAAAAGCTCCAAAAACAAATTAAAAATAAAATAAATCATAGACGAATTTTGGCACAGCATGAGCCAAAGTTTTCAAAGTTTAATGCACGGCAGAGATGGAGAAGGCGATGGAGTTTCGTACTCGGAGCGTCAGTCGTCGGAGGATGTGCCGGATTCCACAACAACAACAACAAACACGGCGACAACAGCAGCCGGCGACAATGGTGGCGGACCAAGGGACGGCGGCGAGGATGATTTCACCGATGACAACAATTTTGAATCAAATTTGCGACGTCGAAAAGGCAAAATAATATCCTGTGCCAAGGAGACCATCGAAAACGGTGAGTGCCCAAAATAGAAAAACACAAAACCTTCAGTTCGACAGATATATATGGCTGTTTATTTACCAACGCCTTATCTATTTTTGGACAATTGGCAAGTCTTCAGGAGATGAATATTTGAGAGATATTTGTGATCAGCTACCCAGAGGGCAGAACGGTTTATTTCTCAAAGGAAACAAATAGAGAGGTTTTGATTAAGAGTAAAGGAAATGCCTAATCAATGACCGGTTAAATCGTGAAACTTTTATTTGTTTCTAGTTTTCAGAAACACTTGCAGTTACCATAGAAATTTGCGTTGTCTTCTAATGTTTTTATCGAGTAAATCAACTTAAAATTTAAAACTTTCATGCAATTGTTGTTGATTGTGACTAGCGCAAACTTTTTAAATGGGCTGCGTTTTCGCACGACCCAAGCAACTATCCAATTACGCTGAAATTACTTTCAGATTGCCGTACTTCCTGACAGCAATAGACAAATAAAGGAAACTTTTCCATGCATTTCACTCTGACGACAGTGTGTGTATGGTGATGGTGGGAACAGGAGGCTCGTTGCCATTGTCCCACTTGAGTCCTTTGTGCAGCGAAGCTATTGAAAGCGCGTCGCCGTCTGAAGGAAGGCGCTATTTGAATTATTTATGCGACAGATGACAAAGAAAATGCGCTTCGAGCTTTGCATATTCCGTCGACTGAGCTGTCTGTGGGTTATTCCCCATTGAATTACCCTTTAATTGATGGGGCGCCTTTCTGGCTAGGTTTTCGCTTCCCTATCCCCATCCCCATATTGATTATCTTTCTTTGGTTTATGTGGTACCACATTATCAGAGGAGTGGGTAAATGGATTAACTAGTTCAAGTGTTTGCCTGACTGTCCTCACATATGCACAGTTCTCCCATTTTACTTCCCTTATGTTTACTTACGGCGACTTTCTTAAGGGTTGTTAATTAAATTCATTAGGTTTTATGGGTCAAGGTTGGGTTGCGTGTAACTAATATATGGGGTGTCTATATAGAATTGATGGCTATTGTTACAACAACTGGAATGGGGTGATGTTAACATGGTTTAGGTTTCTGACTTGCCATGACTTGTGGGACCCATTTGTGACACAGATATTTGTTTTATTTTGGGAAAAATCAACAATATATAATAGTTGTACTTTTTTCTCTTTACTGTTTTCTATTATTGTTTTGTATCTTAAATCCGTTCTTGTTTTAAATCAAATTGTTAAATAATTGTTTTTACAATAATATATTTAAGTATTTTGAAATTTACGGCAAAAGCATTCAGAAGCCAAAGATACGAGTATGATACCATTTAAAATTCCTCTTTTAACTTATGTAATCATTAATGAAGTACATTTTTGTTGAAATTTGTTTTCCTAACAAGTACTTCCTACGTTTGAATTTCTAATAGAATTCCATGTTCTCCCACTCCGTTAGCTGTGAAAATTGCACAACAAATTTAGCAGTATGTTGTGGCGTTTTTCGCGTGGCGATAGGGCGACTATCTGAACTTCCCCCGGTTTCTGACCCCTATTGGCTCCTCATCAGCCACCCACTTGGATCGAGGGTGTTCAGGAAGTGCGCGGATTTACGTGTTGCCAAAATGTCAGACATGACTTTTAAACTTTACTGGCAATCTGGGACGACCGAATGACGTGGCCAACTTACTGGTGCTCCCACAACCTTTCACCTCGTTCCTCAGCCCCAAATGTTCTCCATTAGCAGTCAAACCATTTCACTAGAACTGCATTGCGTGCGTTAGGAATTAGAAGAAAATTTGGCGAACAGCGTTGGTAAGCTCATCGATTTTTGTCGAGTTCGCTGTGCATAACGTCTGCTAATGGAATTGAATCATACTCCACTCATATCTATCGTTGGCTCTTCAGCGCCCCCATTTCTTTGCTTTGGGCTCCAATGTCTAACTGTCTGTGTTTATACAACCATTTTTGTTTGCCTTTGTTGAAGATTGTTTTGTTGTCATTTTTATTTGCGTTGGCCCCGGAGCTCATAGCCTGTGAATTTGTTGTTCTGGCTGCCATCGGCATTGACAGCTCCACGGAATGTTGGGGGATTGTAGGTGGTCTTGTATAGATGCGCCATGATTCTGACAGTTAACCCCTTTTATGGCATTGTTGTCAGGGGTTCAAGTGGGAAATAAATTTGTTGTGCCCTCCGTCGTTTTCAAATTATTCTACACTTTTTATTATTTATTGTGGCTTCTGAATAAATGAACAGTGGAATATTCGACTGGTGCTAAATATTTAAAATAATACATTTCTCATGATTAGTTTTATATGAAAGCAATTAATAGACAATTTTCAATTATTGTTGTTATTTTATAAATATAAATAATATAATAGGCGACCTGCAGGCGTTTATTTTGGTTTTCATTACAGTTTAAATGTAGTGAAAACCTTTTTCACATCCTTTTTCCCTTTTCTTTTTTACTTTCATAGCCCTGCATTTTTCCTATTGATAGTCGGGCACCTATTCACTTTTTTTCCCTAAGGCAGCATAAACTCTTTCAGTGTTGCTTGAATAAGCATTAACATGACACATATAAGAGATCATTTATATATACTACAGCATATGGGTGTATATCGGGAACATCGCAGCCTAAACCAAACAAAAGCCATGGAAAATGTTTATCTAGTCGACTTTTTTCTGAGACTTTTTCTTCAACTTTGTTTTTATATTAATGTTTTTCTCTAAGGAAGCTTCGAGCACACCCACAAAAACATGGATATAAAAGCTTTATTTGTGTCAGATTTGCAGTTTTCCTTTCGGGTTTTCTTCTAAAGGAAATTCTAAGAATGAATAAAGACATTCTGTGTGCTCCCTTTCAGATGCACTTGAATTTTGCGGCATGTTCAAAATGAGGGCATCGTCAGCCTGACAATATCAGGCCACCAGTAAAGATTAGACCATGCTGAACTATTATTTTGCCATTTACTTTGTCGCTGAAGTCTGTCGAAAGGGGCAAAAATGATTTCTAAAATCAAAAATTTAATGGCGCTTTCATTGTTTGTGTTGCATACTTTATGGCGCTTAAGTGCGCACTGCAGCAGCATTTTCCTTCTTCCGCTTTCTCTGAAAAATTAATGGCCCTTTTTAAGTCAAAGGAACCCCGAATGAGGGAAATTGAGTGCTTAGTAAATATAATATTTTATGTGACCTACATTTTTTTTGCAAAGAACAAACAGATGTTTCTAAATAAATACATTTTGACATCCCCTAATTTTTATGATAAATGAACCTTTTTCTTTGACTTGAAAATCCTTGACAACCCTTAAACTACAAGTTACGAGAGACTTGATAAACCGTTTATCAACCATATCTTTTATTCTAGTCCCTTTTTCACCCAGTTGCATTGAGCTAAGCCACAACTCAGCAAAAAATCTTGATATGTAAATGCGTGGCAAGTTGTGTGCACTTGCAGCCACTGAGTTACTTACGTATATCCACCTTACCTTACCGAACCGATTCTCATTGCGCCAATCTGCTGCTGCCGGCTGTCTGTAGTTCTGCTCTCACCGTAAAAGTTGCTTGCCACCGGATGTTTCTCGGTATATTTCCATCCGTTGCATGGTTACAATATGCTTGGGGAAAATCCTGCCTAAAACGCTGACTGACTGACAGCTGATGTGGGATATACGAGTACTATATGCAGGTAAAGGAGCTGAGGTTTTGCATTTGCCGGCAATCCAGCCACAATTCGGTTCGGATTTTGTGTGCGTTGATGTTTTTAAATTGTTAAAGTCATCTTGGCGAAACATCATCGTTGCTTCTGTTCCGTTGGCATTGAGAGCAGCTTAATTTCCGTGGATATCCTCTATACACACCCACACCTTTTTTGTTCGGAGCGGACAACCCATCAATACGGGTAACCATTTCATTTGCTTAGGTGTGCGCCAGTTCGGCTTATAGCTTTGATTGGCTGCTAATCTGATTGCTTTTTGTCAACGCTTTTCATCTTTAGCCTCTGACATTCTGCCATAGATCCAATTAATGGCAGTTCAATCCGGAAAATGCTAAACAAATTCAGAGAATCTTCTTAGCTTTTTAAATAAAGTGATGGATTCTAGGAAAAAGTATTATTATTAATTCAGAGTATCTTCTTAACTATTTAAATAAAGTGATGGATTCTAGGAAAAGGCAATTCCAGTATTTAATGTATAGTTCCTAGAATCGAATGATTGCTAAAGAAAATAAGTTTGCTCTGGTTTACATTTTATAAGCTCGTATATTTCTAAAACCCGCATATATTTTATTTGTAATCTTTTAGCTTTTGCCTAACATCTTTTCAAAGTACGAAAAATGTTTGCTGCCCATTTGTCTTCACTATCTGTGTGAACCTATTCATGTTAACTATGTGCAACATTCCTCGACTCTTAAACTAGTTTTCATGCCGTGCCAGACAAGCGGCCAAGCAAAGTCCGAATTCGATTTGAGGCAAAGTAAAAATATCCCAGCACATGCAGTAACTAAAGGGGAATTGACATAGATGGGTCGACTGAAAGGCCTCGGCAATCTGACAATCTTGCCTGCATTCCCGTTGCGCATAACATTGTTGTCTTGATGATGCTCATGTCCGGATGGCCTGGCCGAAAACGTAGCCCGCTTTGCAGGAAACAATAGACAGTGCACAAAACCCAATTCCCAGGCAGAGGAAGTAGCTCCTGCTCCGGCTCCATCCTGCCTTCCTGCCATCCTGCCATCCTGCCAGACTTTGCTATCACCTCTTCGACCGACGTGCTTCCGTCCAAGTTGAGTTGAATCGCCCACGGCGCTGCTCTTCGTTTGCTACTCAGCCAAAAAATTGCCCCCGAAAAGGAAAATGAATACAAAAACAATTCCAACGTTCTTGGTTTTCACTACGGGTCTTGGCTGAAGTCCAACCTACATATATAAATATACATATATATAAACTATGCGAATTCATTGAGGTATACACTAAAAAAGTTCAAGTCGGAATATAAACAAAACAATTTTATGAAAAATA